CATCGTTCTTTTAGTAAAAAAATTGAATTAAAAGAGAAACTTATTATCCTTTGAGGTTTAGTAAACAGATTTAGATTAAAGAGCAATGCATTCCAGTTTAACAGAATTTTATTATACGAAAAGAAGTTTAATTTTTCAGCAATAGAAGGACAATTTGTAAAGTGCTTGGTACCCTCCCTCATCGTCTGACTGCGAGTATTTATTCAATTTCGACAATTTCGAGGCGTTCTTCGCGAAACATAAAACCGTAATCCGTATGGAGGCGTAGGGCATTGTAAGTCGGGGTTCTGACTATAAATATACGAAATGTCGTGCGTTCGGGACTGCTTTATTTATTATGTACAGCATCTGCTTGAAAATTAAAAAATAAATAAATAAATAAGTAAGATGGCTGAGGGATATTTGCGCACGGAAAAGATGGTTTATTATTTTTCCGCTAGTTTTCCATTTCCCAATAGCTAAAGTATATGGCTACTGTAATTTTGCCGTAAGCTTTGCATGAACTGCAGGTACTTGAAGACAATTGAACCTAATAAAAATAATAGGTACGGGAATAGAAAATTTATGATGAATAATATTCACTACTCGAGTGTATGATGCATAATGCTCGATCTTTAATAATTTATCCAAGACATTGTAAGGAATGTTTTGTGAAACTCTTTTATTTATTTTCACATATCTTGTTATAGGTTATAGGTGAGCTTAATATCCCATTATCTGGTCTTATTTTATCAATATTTATATTTGAAAATATTGAAAATAAATAATGATCATTCTACGTTTATAATTGTCACGGGCATGCATAATTATTATGAATATAAATAATCGTTGCTTTGCACTGTTACGTAAATGAAAGTTTTACATGTTATACAACTATGAAATCAATCTTATGTGAAATGCTTTTTGTTATTTAAGAAAGTTTTTTTCAATAGTTTAATTACCAAACCTTAATATTCTTTCATATCAACTAGAGAGTTAAACGTTTCGATTAAAGCACGATAATTTTGCTTCATTTTCGTGCAAACTTTTCACCTTCTTGATATCATGTCCCAAAAATGTTAAATTAAGAAATACTTAAGAATCTTGAATACTTAATTAATAATATTATCCTCTCAGTTTGAATTTATTAAAGCTATATCAATTGAATATTAATTTTAAAATATCATATTATTAAAATAAACCACTGTCCTTAAGAAAACATTGATATTTATTTCTGAATCCTTATATTCTTATAAAAATATTTATCAATAGAATATTAAATGAGAAAAATTATTAACTTACATATATATATGTAAATTTTCATTTTACACAAGATTTCTTAAGGCTTATAAGTTACGTACAGTCACTTTATTTTACACAACATATTCACATTAATTCATTTTCTATCACAAATTAACCAAATTAACAGGATTTTCTTTAAATAAATGATTAATCATTATATTGATAATTTATCTATATGCAAAAGATATTGTAAGTAATAAAGTCAATCAAGTTTCAACTTCAAAATAAGAATACTGAATATAGTTGATTTATATTGTTACACTTTTAAATTGGCCTTATCTTGTACTATCTAAAAAGAGTGGAATAAATGTGATACGATGAAATGTAGCTGCAGGAAACATTATGACATACAAACGCATACTGTATATGTATATGTACGCTGCGAAACTCAATAATACAACAAGAGAAGTTCATTATTTCATATTAGTTTGAATTTTTTTTTTATATATTTATTCTACAATATGATTTAAAAATTGAAAAAAAAAAAATTTTTTTAATTAAATTGCATATTTATTTAATTAATATTTATTTTAATTTCGACTGATAAAATATACACGCCTAGGAGTTATATTTAACTAGATATACATTAATTTTATTAAATTTTATTGAGATATCTGTATAATATAAACGTATTAAATTCCATATGCAAGTAAAAAATCATGAGCTTATGAATGAACGTAAAGGCATAATATACATTATAGTCTTATTGTATTTCTTTTAAATTCATATAAATATCTATTTCTTTTTAAATTTCAATTCCAATGAGTAGTTTTAATGTATTTTTAACGTGATTTAAGTACTCGTTGAATATTTCAAGAGTGACGGCATTTTTTCATCTGACAATTATTTAGCGTATATTTACAGTTATATTCGCTATCTCCTCTTTTCTTAATGCATTAATTTTTAATAATCAATATTAATCGCATTTAACCTATGTAATAGCTTACGTGTGACATTTGAAAAATATTAACGACAATATTATTGTTTTATAAGTCTTCGCTTCATATAAGCTGTCGTTAGAAAGTGTTAAAAGTGGATAAAACATTCCTTCTTTTGAATGAAATCTTTGACTCTTAGCTGCTCTTAATATCAATATTTTTCATTAGTATATTTCTCAATAATAATAATAATTTTCAAAAATTATAATAAGGATTTGGAATTAAATTTTTAAAAGCATGATTCTTTAACGGAAAAATTTGTTAAAACTTCATAAGACTGTGGTTACTTCAACAGGATAAATACTTCAGTATTTACATCATTATATTACGATACATTATTATTATTATATAAAGTGACTGTATCAATAGCATTTATTGTGCTTAAATAAAATATTTCATATTATCTTCAAATTATAAATTTATATGGTTTTTAAAAATTTGCAATTTGTAATTGCTGGGCTAACATCTCATAATTTTGATTTAGCAAGAAATGTTAAATATATTCGTAGCACATACGTAGTAGTTAAATTTATACGTGAAGCACATGGAATAATTGAATATTTATTCGTCCATATATTTTGATTTTTCGAAACACTGAGTAATTTTTCATTTAAATGAAAACTTAAAAGATAATAAATAAGATATTATGGATTTAGAAACTAAGAATGAAGCCGAGAAATACTTTCTTTTATCTAAATATCTCATCATTTTTCAGACTAATATATAGATGAATAATTTAATTTAGAAATGAAAAGCTATTGAAAGAATAAAAATTACAAATAACGAAGTTTTAAATTTCAGAATTTTTATATTTTACGACCTTATTTCTAAATGTTCATTTTATTTTAAGTAGGATTTATTTATTATTTATATTTATAATTACATATAAGTAATAAATCCGTCTATTTAGTTAAAGTAACTAGATAAAAAAATTAAGTTCAAAATTAAATATAAATAGGAAATTTACAAATTTTATGGAAAAAAATTTTAAAATATAATGGTTGAATTATTAAAAAAAAAAAACTGCAATGTTTGTTTAAAAGATAGTAGTATTACTATATCATATTTAATTACTAAAAGGCTGATGTGTCTAACAATATATATTGATTAAGACATTGTTTGATACTTAAAAAAAAAAAAGAAATATATATATATATATATATATATTGATTTTGTAAAAAGTAAAAAAAGTGAACTATTATTTTACCTCCAAACGAAAACTATTCACACAAAATAAATTAAGTTTAAAGTCAATTTTAAAAGTTATTCTGATATCTAGACTGAAATTCGGACTAAAATAAAAGTCGCAAGGTAGAGAGAGAGAGAGAGGGGGGGGGAGGGTTAAATAAAAGATCCAAAGGGTAATAAGAGAAAAGAAAAAAATACTAAAATATAAAAGTTTCGTAAGTCGATTTTCGCGAATCATAATCGGTAACTCGTAATATTGTATTAATATATACTTTCAATCTTAAAAAAATAATAATTGCAGCAGGTTTCGTTGCATGTTAAAAACTATAAATGGACAAATGTATGAATTTTTTGAGTTTTGTACATTCGATTGTGACATAGGACGTAACATATACTCATTATAATATTAAAAGGGAAAAGAAATTCATTGAGTGAAAAATGTTGTTTATATCATAAAATTCCAGGGAAATATTTTTCATCAATTTTATGTACTTAATTGAACGTACTATAACGAATTATTTTGCTTGAAACATGATCAAACTGAATTTTAATTAAAATTTCAACTAAGGCTGTATTCAAAATAAATTTTGATGTAAAAATTTTCTTTAAATAAATATTGACAGAAGTTTGATATAAATATTTTGTTGGAAAAAGATGTGAAAAGTACATATATATTACTTTATATTATCTATTACTTTCCAAGCAATTAGTAAACAAAATTAAGTATTGCATTTCATTAGATTTTGACTTAAATTTCTTGTATAAAATGTTAAAATATACTAAAAAGAGATAAAATAAGTTTAGATAAATGGAATTGGCAGGAAAATGATAGTGTCGATATTGCAGAATGTCATATGGGATTAGAAAGATTTATCCTCTAGTAATATTTCAACATATCAATAATTAATACTATAATTAACGTCAATATAGAACAGAATTGAAAATTACGTCATAATTATGTTATGCAGTTTTGAATTTATTCTCATGTCTTTATGCCTTTATGTTATAAAAAGTCTTTATATTATATTGTCGCTGAATGTTTGTTAAAATTCTGTACAACATAATTTTTCTCATCGTTAAAATACTTTATAAAAAGTGATTGGACTAAATTTTCTTAGACATCTTCGATGGAATTTAGAAAAAAAAACGCCGATATTACATTCGATATATTGACTAACAATTGTTGCAAGTGCTCTTTTAAATTAAACAATTTTTAATCACTAATAAAAATCTAATCGAATTCTTTTATGCAATAATTGAATAATTTTACGACTAGCATTTACGTAATATTAGGAAAAGCTTTCCTTGCATTGCATTGCATCGTGAATTACATGAAATGCCCGGACGATTAGACGAGACTCGCGCATCCAACAACAAAGGACTATAGATCTATAGATTTCTTTTACCTCCTAATAATAAAACTTTCTAGTTTACGAGTGTTCTAGCTGTCTAGCCGTCGCTCAGCAGAGCCTTGGGATGTGACGTTCATTGCATTACGCTTAATTAAAAGTTGATTAAATAGAGGAGGAAGGATTTATGGGAGCAGAAGGAGAGTCGAGTTATTAATAAGCAGACATCCAAGCGATAACGCACCTTTGCTGGTAAGGCTGAAGCTCCTGAGCCGGTAGAGGTCCTCGTCCAAGAGATCGTCCCGCTGGACCGGCGAGGCGTTCGCGTCCGGTACGTCGAGGTAGGCGTTCACCTTACGGTGATGCGCGTGATGGACGCTTTGTCCCCGACGACTTCCCCGACGCCTCAGCCCAGGACTAACATCGTTGTCCGTCAGTCGGGGCTCGCTACTGCAGTGGGCCGAGCGCACCCCCGACCCCTCCGAAGGATAATCGTGCTGCGCCGCCGCTGAAACGAGGATATTTTGCCGATGTTAGCGGATTCGCAGCCGTTAATTCCAATTGAAATCAAATGGATTACGGATACGAAATTGTCGGCGAACGCGATTGGCACTGGCGCTTCACGCCACCTGATAATGACGTATGTCTAGTCGCCAACAACCAATCTATTGTTGGGATTTGCGTGTATGTGTTTATTATGATTATTTGCTCGATGAATGGTTGGCATCTTTTAATGGCTAATCTCCGAGTTGCATATTAACATAAGCCGTAGCCGTTTATTATAAACAATGAGAGATTTATCTAATTGATAGAAGCTCGATTGGAATAAAAACTATGCGGAGATTGTAAGATTTAGGAGTGAATTATATTAATAAATTCTCTATTCTAATCGATAACATGGATATTCTACATGTTTAATTTCAAGCTCTTGAAATGTTTATGCTAATTTAATAGTTTACTTTATATTCAAACGATTTACGATTTAAGTACATATCTTCGTAATCTTTCCAATAATATTTTCTTATCATCTTTATGTATTATTACTCTCCAATTACTTCAAAAATTACTTCTTTCGCATTATATACATAGATATGTGTATCGGTATGTGCGTGCGCGTGTGTGCACGCGCGCAGGCATATATCTTCTTCTTTTTCTTTTTCTTTTTTTTTATAATAGAAATATGAAATTTATATTATTTTTATTAATATTTATAGTGATAATAATGTTAATGGTTTTCATCAAAATTCTAAGAGATAATTCGTTAAAATTTAATGAAAATTTGCATTTGAGTTAACAACGATTTAATTATCTGCCATGATTAAATTATCGATTATCGCATAAGCTAAAAGTGTATTTATAAAATTATTTCTAAAACATTTGTTCTAAAACATTCTCTAATTTTGCAAAATATATAATCGAATATTTAATGCAATGCTATCGTTTACAAATATTTTCACATATTATTAGAAGATTATTGTTTCACGTTATGGGCATTTGACGTTAATGCAGCCAAATGCAATTATTAAGAAATGTTAGGTAAGATTCGATACTGGAAAATTCATATTAAGGTAATTGTAAGTTAAATTGGCCGATAATGATAGAAAGGCTCTTCGGCCACCATACCTTGATAATATAAAGTAGTCAATCGTATAATTAATTTCTCATCCGATATTATAATGATGATACGTTAATTCAATAAGTTACATTGTTATTTAATGATTCTTAATTATAATCGCGATATTCATTATAAACTCTTTTATAAAGAATTTTTGTGCAAATGTGAGACGAATATAGTGGCAACTATAGATTATTATTATTTTTAAACCATTTGCAATTTTCATATCATATACTTGAATTTAATATTTAAAATTATAGATCTATACGTATTTGCTAATTATTAATACGACGTTACTTCTCATTAATGCAGTATATTTAATAAAACATATTTAATAAAAAAAACTAATCAGGTTACAAATTAGATGTTTTATTACTGAAATTTAATGGATCATATAATATAATCCTTCGATGTCGATTAATATGTAAATATTTATGAATAATAATTTAGTCATTTTATATAACTTTTAATAGTGTATTTTATATATCTCACGCGTCTACAATTTTGTATTCTATTTTTAATTAAAATTGAAATTAAATCGAAATTCGCGTGCATTTATTGCATAGAAAATTAAATAAAAAAAATTTATAAATTAATGTTAGGTAAAATTTTTGTAAAAATATTAATAGAATATCTAATTAATTAACGGAATAGTGAAAATAACAATGTAAAACCTATATGTCTATATTACTGATAATTGTTTTGTCTATATTCGATAGAAAATAATCGAGATTGTTTGTTTATGATCATTATCTAATTGCTTTTGATTGTATCAAATATTATTATAAAGACTAAAATTATAAAAGTATTGAAAATATATATTCATATAAATTATAATATAATAATTTGCAATACATTTATATTTCTATTTTAAATTTTTTTTTTTTTTTTTTTTTTTTTTATCAAAAACAAACAGATTATTTTTTACGTAACACCAGTTCGAAGAAGATTTTTTGTTCAGATAATAGCTAAAGCAGCAGTAAAACTGATATTGGTTTTTATAAGATATTAAATTTATAAGATTGAAAGTCTTAGAACATGACAGAAGTCTATCGGAGCAGTGGTTGATCGAAATTTTTTAAAATTCATATTCCATTTCTAATTAGCAGTAAAAAAAGAATTTCTCTTTATTTTCATGAAAATTAATGCGATAAAGCCGGAAACTAATGAAATTTCTGAAGCAATAACTCGAAGCAGCTTTCGGAGCAAAATAAAATAATAAAGTCTCGCAAGCTATGAATGAAATTGATACGCCTAGTCGCTTTTCATAAATCATTTAGCAAGCGATCGTGAGCTTCAACAAGCTCGTATTTCAACAAATACCTTTACAATACCGACAGAACTCTTTACACTAGAGGGTACGAAGTTCGTATGCGAATAGATCGAGAGAATATTGAGTGACGCGCGACTTGTCGGCTAAACTGCAGACTGGGAAAGCGTTCGAAAGCCACAGGACCGTGGCATATTGTTCCTGGACGAGGTTGGGCTTGCGGTAGCATAATCCTCAATCTCATTAAGGTATGTCGGTACAAAGCGCCTAGACCTAGTGTGTGACGCACCCGAGGTTCACTGAATTAGGGAAGGGCTTCAAGGGCTTGATTAGAAGGCGTAGATCAGCAGCAAAATACAAGAGCCCATTGCTTGTGTAGGCCTCCTCATATATACGTCAATGTGTACACACACGAGAAACCATGAAGCATTCTGTTCTTTAAAAAGGTGTGAGACACTTTTGAAATAAGTAAATTTGATCTATTTAATCGTCGGACGATATGTTAGCGACGCAAGATCTATTGGATAGGCAGATTTAACGGGTAACTAACGTGCAAAATTTTGCAATTTCACAGGTATTTTGCATTTGGTAAATGCGATCGTCGTCAAATGGCAATGAATTTTAATTATATCCTTATATAGTTATAATTTTATTTAAACATGAGATATTTCTCGATATTTCATATTTCCCAACTTCAATCAGTCGATTATTATTATTATTATTATTATTATTGTACAACTAATTCTATCAAACTTAATTTGTGTTGAAAATTTTGTAAATATTGTACGTTTATACCCTTACGAATCGTGAAAGAGTCTAAAATGTTAAGAAAAAGTAATCTCTTAGCTCACTAAGGTAATTATGAAATTGCCTTTGACAGTTTGGTCAACATATCTGATGTGAATATCATGTTTGATTATATTAGCTAATATTACCATAATGTATATAAATATACGAAAATTTCTTACACACAGAAGAAACTTTATTTTTAAGAGCATTAAAAGTGCTAAAATATATTTGTTAAAAATTGGAATTCTAATTTTATATTATTAATTGAAAATTTTAATTAGGCATTAGTAAAAGTCTTCATTTGATATAACTCAACAATTCCAACTAATTGAATGGAGGTAAAGATTTTTCTTCTCCATTAAAACTACAGAGGCAATCGAGAAATTAATAATCATATTATTTTGATGAATCTTCTTTCAGTTGCCTCTTTCATTCATCTACAGTATAATAATATAATTAAGGTTGCATGAAAAATTGAAAAATTAGAGATAACTGTGTGTAATAAACAATAAAGTCAAATGAAAATATATTTATAAATATATTTAAGAAAATACTGTTGCATTAATTGAATAATTCAGCGACAATTTTCAATTAAAATATCTCAAATATTTTTTACTTAACCTATTATACACATTTTTACACGCATTCTATTTATTTCATTTTAATACACGTTGAGATTGAAATTTTCAAATTAGGTCGAGCGATCATTTCATCGGCTCGTCTTTGTAATTCTTATGAATAATCTCGCTTTTACGTGGCAAAACGTCCACAAAGAAAATACAAGTACAATTTTAATAATAAAGTTTCATTTCAGGCTTTCAGAAAAAGTTTGCAATTTTTTGGTTCATTTGACGAGAAAAACTTTTCCCTTGCACTTTGCAACTATCACGCAGGTCTTAAGCAATGTTTACTACTTGAAAGTCATTTCGTGTAAAAAAAGTGAAATAAAAATATTTCATTTGGCCATAATCAATTTACGTAATGCATCATTTAATATGCGTATTGGAAATATTAATTTAATGTAAATATTAATTTAATTGATATTTCTATTCGATTAAGGTGATCAGAAAATAGATTCTAGCGCTAATTAATTAATATCCACAAAAGTGGTGCTTAATATTTCATATTCATATAATCAAAATTTTTAATTAACAATAAAATATGAGGCTTTGTTTGAAAAAGAAAAAAAAAAAAAGAATATAATATTATAAACATTTAAGTTAAGAGTAAATGATTGAAATATTACATTAAAATGCAAATATACTTAATATATTTATCAAATAATTTAAATATATTTATGATAAGACTACTATATTTTTTTTATTCTATTCATTACACATTATTACAATTATATACAATGACTATCAATAAATGGTATTTGTATTAACTTGGATATCGCGTCTCCACTGTCTCTTAACAAATGAGAATAATATAAAGAGGTCCTGAAATAAAACTAATATATTGATTAGACACTCAATCAGAAATAAATAAAATAATGTAAGTGCTTACAATTTCTGTCTAAATTGTATTTTGGATTGATTTTGGATTCATATCTTTGGACGTAATTTTCATTATTTGAATAATCAACAATTTACAATCATGATAAATAATGAATAGTATAAATATATTATTGATTATTTTCTCTCTAGGCGCTTGAATATTGAATATAGAATATCGAATGGTAATTCTAAAATTTGATGTATTTTTAGGAAAGACAATAATCCATCAATTTTATAAAATGTGATAGAAAATTCATTACGTATACCAGATTGTCCAATGCTCGTAAATTTTCGTCAATCAAATACTATCGAATTGTTTAGTAAATATAACGACG